CAATAGAATCCAGGTGCTTGTAAAGAAAATAATTCATCACAACCAAGTGGGCTTCATCCCAGGGATGCAGGGATGGTTCAACATACACAACTCTATAAATGTAATTCACCATATAAACAGAAGCAAAAACAAAGACCATATGATCCTCTCAATAGACGCAGAGAAAGCATGTGACAAAATTCAACACTCTTTTATGATAAGAAAGCTAAACAAAATAGGTATAGACGGGGCTTACCTAAAAATGATACAAGCCATATATGACAAACCCACAGCCAATATCATAATGAATGGGGAAAAACTGAAAGCATTCCCACTTAGAACTGGAACAAGACAAGTTGCCCACTATCTCCACTTCTGTTGCTGGAAGTCCTCACTACAGCATGACAAGAGAGCGGAATTAAGGGCGTCAAATGGGAGCAAAGAGATCAAACTCTCACCTCTTCGCTGTTGACATGATATTATACCTAGAAAACCCCAAGGATTCAACCAAGAGACTCCTTGATCTGATAAATGAATTTGGCAAAGTCTCAGGATACAAATCAATCACACAGAAATCAGAGCATTCATATACGCCAACAACAGTAAAAGTGAGAACAAAATCAAAAGACTCAATTCCCTTCAAAATAGCAACAAAGAAAATAAAGTACCTTGGAATACATTTAACTAAGGAGGTAAAAGACCTCTACAGGGAGAACTATGAAACATTGAAGAAGAAATAGCAGAGGATGTAAACAGATGGAGAAATACCATGCTCATGGTTGGCAGAACCAACATCGTTAAATGTCTATATCACCAAAGTGACTACAGAGTCAACGCAATCCCTATCAAAATACCCATCATATTTTTCACAGATATAGAAAAAATATTTTATGCGCATATGGAAATCAGAGAGACCCGTATAGCAAAATCATCCTAGGCCATAAAAACAAAGAGGAGGTATCAATTTACCAGACTTCAAACTATGACTAACAAGGCTATAGTCTTAAAACAGCTTTATTGACAGAACAGGGACATTGACCAGTGAACAGAAACAGAGAACCCCAGAGTATAAAACCATCCTCATACAGCCAACTAATCTTCGACAAAGCAGACAAAAACATACAATGGGGAAAAGAATCCTTATTCAATAAATGGTGCCTGGGAAAACTGGATAGCCAATGTAAAGACTGAAACAAGACCCACACCTTTCACCTCTCCACAAAAATCAAACTCAGCTGCCGGTAACAGACTTGAACTTAGGTGTGAAACTATTTAGAATTCTAGAGGAAAATGTTGGAAATACTCTTCTAGTCATGCCTAGGCAAGAATTTATGAAGAGACCCCCAAAGGCAATCAAACCAGCAACAAAAGTAAACAAATGGAACCTAATGAAATTAAAACACTTCTGCACAGCCAAATAAACTGTCAAGAGAGCAAACAGACAACCCACAGAATGGGAGAAAATTTTTGCAAGCTACACATCTGATAAAGGGCTGATAACTAGAATCTATTTAGACTCAGGAAAATCAGCAGAAAAAATAAAAACCCTATCAAAAATGGGCAAAGGACATGAACAGAAACTTCTCAAAAGAAGACAGAATAATGGCCAACAAACATATGAAAAAATGCTCAATATCTCTAATCATCAGGGAAATGTAAATGAAAACCACAATGAGATATCACTTAACTCCAGTGAGAATGGGCTTTATCAAAAAGTCCCCAAACAACAAATGCTGGCATGGATGCGGAGAGAGAGGAACACTCATACACTGCTGGCGGGACTGTAAACTAGTTCAACCTCTGTGCAAAGCAATATGGAGATACCTCAAAGCGATACGAGTAGATCTACCATTTGATCCAGCAATTCCACTACTGGGCATCTACCCAAAAGATCAAAAGTCACTTTATGAAAGACACCTGCAGTCGAATGTTTATAGCAGCACAATTCACAATTGCAAAGCTATGGAAACAACCCAAGTGCCCATCAATTCATGAGTGGATTAATAAAATGTAGCATATGTATACCATGGAATACTACTCAGCTTTAAGAAACAATGGCAATATAGCACCTCTTGTATATTCCTGGATACAGGTGGAACCCATTCTACTAAGTGAAGTATCTCAAGAATGGAAAAACCAGCACCACATGTACTCACCAGCAAATTGGTATTAACGGATCAACACCTAAGTGGACATATAGGAGTAACATTTATCCGGTGTCGGGAGGGTGGGAGGGGAGGAGGGGAGGGGTATATACAACCACAAGTAAGATGTGCAACGTTTAGGGGATGGACATGTTTGAAGCTCTTACTTGAGGGGGGAGGGGGGCATGGACAATATAAGTAACCTTAACACTTGTACCCCCATAATACGCTAAAATAAAAAAAAAGAAAATAGCTTCTGACTCCAATATTCTGAATATTGAATAATTCTGTGGAACCCTAGGGGGCTGGGAATCAATCTGGTTGTTTTATAGGCAAGTGCATGGAGGCCTAGCAAGGTTAAATAGTAAACTTTTTTTTTAAATGTTCAAAAACTTCATAATGGAATTGGTAAGTAACAAAACTGGTATGAAAAATATCCAAATTTTATTAGCATTCATACTATATTTGGTTTGTTTGGCTTTTTTGGTGTTATTAAAAATAGACACAATAAAATATTATAGCAATTTATTTCAGGAATTTAAATGTTTCAGTTAAAAATATATCTCACTTTAAAACTGACCATTTTTAGCTGACCAATTTGTGAGAAGTGGGTGGAGGTAGGTTATTAAGCTGAACTCACCCCTGTATTATTTATGGTTTTTCATGTGTCCTAATATCTGAGCATTGCTGTCTATAAGACAATCTGCCATGGAGAAGGTGGCTAAATAAGGAGAAAAAATGATAGTTTAGAATGAGTGCCAAATTCTATTTCTGTCAATCACGTATTCATATTACCCATCATTTCCTGAGCTGGCAAAAAGTCAGTCTGGAGACTATCAATTTGTACCTATTCTGTGATGACATTAAGAGCTATGCCTCCTATCAATCTATACCTATTCTGTGATGACATCAAGAGATATGCTCCCTATCAATTTGTACCTATTCTATGATGACATCAAGAGATATGCCCCAATGACCCTGCCAATAAACACAGAAAAAGGAAGTTATTAAATCATAGCATCCAAATTTTTAATGGTAGCTAACCTAAAATTATTTTTGAGAAGTAATCTTGTCTAAGATACCATTTTTCAAACTGAGGGCTACAATCCAATATGGGTCATGAAATCAATTTAAGGCACCATAATCAGCATTTAAAAAATCAAACAGAAGTAGAAAAATACAGATAACAGAATATATTAAAAATACTAAGGATAAGTATTGTTTCATGAAAAAATGGAAAAACAGAAGTAAGAGAGTAAAAAGCTTAAAGGCTGGAAGAGTTGGTCATAGACTCTTATATTAGGGTTTAGTATTTTAGAGGAGAGCAATAGGTATAGCCCCGGGTGTTGTGGCCAAAGTACAGTGTAAATGAAAATGACTGTCCACAAGGACAATGAAGTCAATCAGGGTGATACAAAAAATTAAGATGGAGATTTAGACTGGGAGCCAGGAGTTCTCAACAAACAACCAAGAAGTCAGGAGATGCAAACAAACAGGAGGGGAAGATAACAGCATGCTCTACAAAATACTGGATGCTTAGAAGATTCATTTTTATAGGAATATGTAGAAATATTGATTTGGAATAACAATGGTAGCTAAGAGAATGCTAGACTTCTTGTCTTCTGGCAGCTCCTTTTTACAGACTCTTTTTACCTCTCTCCATTTCCTATCTCCTACTATGCCATAAAAGAGAATGAACATCCTCTACATGAGAGAGCTGCTGAGAAAGGAAAGCTGAGTAAGATGCTTCCAGAAGTTGTGGACAAGCAAGAAGAAAAATCATCCTCTTCAAAAAGAAAAAGAAACAACAACTAGTAAAATCATGAAATTATTCATCCTTAAACTAACCCACACTACTATTTGGTTTATGATTATACTAATTATAAGATTATGGTATTTCCAAAGTCTATGCCAAGAGTTGAGAGTATATTCTCAATAATCATGGCTGAAATAAAAGAAAATTAAAATCTCTAATAATAATATTAATAGCAGGAATGTAATTTATATATTAAATATGAAAGGAAAAATACAGAGAACAATTTTATATATTTGATATTATATAAAACTACAGACTAATTTTTTTTTGTCAATTACTGCTCAAAGAATAGATACATTATATACAATAGATACTCAGTTATTAGGTTGTAAATTCAGCAGTGTAACAAGGACTGTGTGTAAAGTTTCCAGAGTCTGGATGAAATGTCCTTCTGAATCCAACTCACTTTGTTCTGATTTTGTACTCATGAAAGCATCTCATTATCAACTAGGTTTCAAAAAATCTTAATGTCTAAGATAGTGCTATAGAGCAAGGTTTCCAAAATTTTTCATTATAAAGACATTGTTTTATTAACATATATTATGTACATTAAACATATATATATAAGAAACAAAATTTAAAAGGGTCAGACCTAAATAGAAGTTTCAGTATTTTCTTCTCACATTCCAGTGGCATGCTGTAGATGCTATACTGGAGACCAGTGCTTTAGAGAGACAGATAAGTGTTCTAGGCAATGGAAGGACATAAAACTGACACAACTAATAAGCTAGAACTGTGTAATTTAGCTCTGGATAAAATGATAAAATCAAGTTTCTAACTCTTTAAAGCTTTGGGGCCATAGTGAAGCTCTATTGAGGTACTGCCTTATAATGAGGCCATCAAAGCCCTTTTTGCTGCAAGAGGATAGGCAATGATCACATAGAGCTTAAATACTGAGGTATAGGATGTGTTTTTATCCCAACTAAAGAAATCATCCCTTAAGTGCAGTATAATAAGGAAAAACAAACCTCAATTTAAAAATATCGATCAGAAGTTTAAACAATGACATGGTAGAATGTTTCCTTCCCTAGCAGTACAAACTGTCTCTTGTAATTACTCACCTGAATAGAATGTGTTGATTTTGGCAAGTTCCTTTTCACAGGTTTGGAAAAATTTTTCTTCAAACTTGGCAAAATACCTCTTTACTGTGTCCTCATCTGTAACTGAAAGGCAAGGCAAACAATATTTAAATTTCATGTCTGAAGGCCAACAAGGAAAACTAAGGAAATAAAAATTAAAGTTATCACTTTCTTAGTCTTCAAATGACAACTCAATACACATTTCTCTGAAAAAAATGAATTATGAACCCCATATTAAGAAAAGACTACTAACCAAAGGTTTTTTTCACAGGAACACAACTCTTCTTGAATTGAATGAGGCTCTCTGAAGTCCTAAATTTATAATGTTGGAGAAAGACTTCAGAATAAGAAGAAACTATGTAGACAGAAGTGATCAAGGAAGAGTTAAGGTATTGGAAGTTGAGCTAAGTAGGATTCATTCAGCAGGAGAATGAATTAAATGTTTCAGGAAATAAAAAAAATGCAAGACCAAAAATATGAAAACATGAATATATAATATGTTTCTGCAAAAAAATGAGTTGATTTTTCTCTATGTTAAATTGCTATCTACTCATATTTACTTTAGCTTCACCAGAGAAAGACATGTGAACTGACATGTAAATTGGATGTTCTTAACCTTCAGGAGATGGGGAATAAGATAAATGAGCAAGCGGATGATTGTGCAAGTGTGGAGACAACTGACAACTGACACCTTCAGGATAAGGAGTGGTATAGATTCTGGCAAACTGGAAAGCATTATGTTCATCCGGTTGCTGCTATTTGGTGATATGGGGCCCAATTTGTCAAATCTTCTAATTTTTCAGGAGAAGCTATAAATGTAGATATTTTAAAAACACTCTGTGGGCCAATCAATATATGTTTTTGCTACCTGGATCCACTTTGTGAGTTGTGTCATATAGCATATAAATCTACCAAATCCCTTAAGTACAGATACATGTAGCTTCAGAAACTCTAAGCCTAAAAGGATATGTTTCCTGCCGAAGTGAGATCTGACTAGCCTCCCTGGACGCTAATCATAATATATTATAGAACTATCCTATTTCTGGATCTCTGGGGTACTCTAAGCTTGAAATATGTAGGAAAAATATAGGTTCCTTACTATCCCCAAAGTGACCCAAATCTTAATGCAGTCCCAGAAACTCTTAAATAATCCACCTGTCTAGAAATAAGGGAAATGGTACTTCCCTAAGGAATATACAATACACACACATACAAATTTGTAGTACCATAGATATTTTAAAGAAAAACAAAAGTTTAAAATAAAGTCCTATAAAGCATGTTGAATCTATTCACTTAATTTGAATAACACATATATAAAAAAATTAACACTGCATAAAACTTTAATTTATACAAACTTACTTCTCTATTTCATATCTTTAGACCTGAGGAGATAATGCAGGATATTCTATTGATTTTGCAGTAAAAAAGGAATGCCACTGTAAATTCGTCACGTTAGCTCTGCAACCTAGGTACAATAAAGGCTATAGCTGCCCAAGGCCACTTAGAATTACTTTTTGAAAGCATAAAGCAGGTCAGAGCTTTTTAAAAATTTTTTGTAAAGATGACCTTGAGTTAAGGAAGCTCCCTGGTAACAAATATTGCTCTTATAACAGCATCTAGCTATAGCTGATTTAAATAAGAAGAGTAATACTGATTCTACTTAATTACCTTTTTTTCAATTTTATTTTATTCTTTATTGTTAAGAAAGAAAATTCAAAAGCAAAACATGGGCTTGGTCATATTTACTTTGCTTCCATATTAACAGACAACTTTAATTAACATAAAGCAATAAAGTCGTTCAATAAAGTGATTTAAACATAGCTTCTGTTCTTAAAATAATTTTAACATATATTAATGTTTTTATAGAGGTTGCATGTTCAACATCAACTATATAAAATTTTACCCAGAATTTAGAAACAAAAAAATACAGGCTCTAAGAAAAACATTAACTTTATGTATTAAAGCATGAACATTCTATTTATGAATCAGTCTCCTATGAATTCATTTCCTCACTTTAGAGATTGTTTTATCTAAAATACCAGCAGTCTGTTACCCATTTTTCTAGTTCACATATAACTTAATAGCTACAAATCAGAAGAAGGTAGAATAAGGTTACAGCACAGCAAGAAATAACTAACAGAGAGAAAAGAGGTAAAAAACTATAAATCAAAACAGCAAGAATAACTGCAAAATAAATTAAATGAAAGACAATGCTCTTGTCCTCTCAGATTTCAAAAGACTTGGTGAGCTACTGTAATGAGAAGTATATTATTGTTTTAAAAAAATTAGAAAAACACAACCAAAAGAACACAATCGAGAGACTAGGAATTAATCTTCGTATATATAAAAATTTAGATTATGATAAAGGGGGTTTTAAATCAGTGAGAAAAGAATGGATTATAGAACACATAGGGTTGTGCCACTTGGCCACCCATTTAGAATAAACTCCAAATGGAATTAAAGAAATATTATAAAATATTAGAAAAAGAAACATTTAAATACTTTTCCATGGGGAAGGTCTTCTTAAACACTAAACAAAACACAGAAACCATAAAGAGAATGATTGACACTTTCACAAAATGAAAAATTCCATTCCACAAGGTACCATAAGCAAAGTTAAAAGAGAATCAGTAGAGATATATATCTGCAACATTTAAAATAAAAGATTCGCATACAAAATATATTTTTTAAAATTCTTACAAATCAATATTTAAAAGATATCGGATTCTACAATAAAAATGGAAAAATAAGAGCAATTCATAGAAAAAGAAATAAAAATAACCAATGAACAAATGAAAGGATACTCAACATCCTAGATGTCATATAAATGCAACTTTAAAAAAGGAACTATAATTATTTAACCATCAGATTGGAAACAATTTTAAAATAGTGATATCATTTTGGCAATGGTGGGATAGATGAACACTCTCATTCCCTATTGATGGAAATGTAAATTTGTAAAGCCTTTTAGGAAGACAATTTGGCAGCAGCTATCAAAATGTTCAATGTTCAATCCTATGTGTAGCAAATATATTATAAAGGAATCTCTGCACAAATGGATATTTTTGCAAGGATGTTCATGTACCATCATTTTTAACAGTGATAAAGAAAACAAACTGATGTCCAAAAGGGGTGTGGTTAAATAAATTATGATAATATTATGTAACACTAGACAGTCATTTAAAAAATGATATATATATACATCCTGGTATGTATGAAAAATTTCCAAGACATACCGTTGAGGAAAAAACTTAAGTTAACAGAATATATACAGCATGATTCCATTTATGAAAAGTATGTACTTTATAAATGTATAAATTAATATTCATAGGTACATTCATAGAAAGAAGAATGGAAGGATGCATATCAAACTGTTAATTATGGTTACCTCCTTTGAAAGAAGAGTAGGTATGAGTAGGATTCTCATATTTTACCATATTCAATTATTGTACTGTTTAAATCCATTACAATGAAAAAGTAAGGATAAATTATATTATCTAATAAAGGGTATTATTAACTGGAAGAAAAAAAGAAACATGTCACATCCAAACCTTTCAATAATACACAGTAAAAACTATCTAGCTGAAAAGAGTATCTATTTCAGAAATGTAGGGGTATATAGAATGATTGAGCTTTCATTTCAGTTATGAGAAGTTGGTAGAATGATGATTTACAGACTTCTTTTACATCAACTTCTATTATAAGATGCTTCCTATAACCTACTTGCTGAATAATACTAGAAATTAGTAACTCTGAATGGGAGAACCAGAGAATTTCAGCATTTAGAAATCAACTATCTCAATTCTCTTATTTTATAGATGGAAACTGAGATGTAAAGAGCCTAAATGACATGAATTTTCCCCCCCTCCAATAGCAATATAAATTTTATAAAAAAATCATTGTATTTTCTTATTATAAAAAAGAATCTGTACGTATTAATTATATGAAAGTGACTACTAAGTGTTACATGGGTGTTATGAACTGAATTCTGTCTCCCCCAAATTCATACCTCAAAGCCCTCACCTCTCTAATCTCCAATATGACTGTATTTGGAGATAGGGCTTTCGAAGGGGTAACCATGGTTGAATGAGGCCTTATGGTCAACAGGGCCTTATTCTAATAGGACTGGTATACCTACAAACAGAGGAAGAGACACCAGAGATACCCTGCCCATTCCTCCTCCCTCCATCCTTCTGTCCAATCACACACAGAGGAAAGGCTATGTAAGGACACATGTCTGTAAGCCAGGAAGAGAGACCTCACCAGAAACCAACCTTACCTATACCTTGATTCATGAACTTAAAGCCTCCAGAACTGTAAGAAAATACATTTCTGTCATTTAAGCTACCCAGTCTATAGTATTCTGTTATGGCAGCCTGAGAAGACTAATATAATGGGCTAAGCATGTCCTGAATTCAATAATTAGTCACAAAAGACTAAGCCTAGTTCAAAGACAGCTGGCATAAATAAGTGCAAATCTCAGCAAGATATATCAACAATGTTAAGATCAGCAAAACAGAAAAAAGGAAGATAAAAAGGTGGTAAAAATTGATAAAGAATGACTCAGAGAACACTGCTGCAGAGATCCCTTTGCTCTGAGTTAAATATTATTTCAGTCAGTTATATTAAAATAGAGAGACACAGAGAAACACACACACACACACAAACACAGAGAGAGAGAGAGAGAGAGAGAGAGAGAGAGAGAGAGAGAGAGAGACACGGAGGGGAGGGAGGGGAGAGGAGAAAGACATTAATTTCTCTGTCATCTCTATTCACCTTGCATTTGTGGATGACAGACAATGACTCTTTAATAAGAGTACCAATCAAAGCAAAATACTCCTATTGCATAGCAACCACCATCAAGTGCTTTTTACAGCAACTTTCACGAATACTTTTATTTTTATACCATTAATGTTATCTAACCTCCAGGTTATTCTCCAGGTTAGAAAGATAAAAAACCAAGCCTCTCAAAAACCAATTCTTTATAATCATTATTAACATGATCAAATATCTGATATGTTCCATTCAAATTTTTATTACTATTCTCAATTTTCTTAATTTCCAGATCTATGAGACACTGAGGG